ACCATTAAGTATTGTGTCTGCTGTGAGTTTCTCATATATGGCATTTATTATAGTGAGGTAATTTTCTTCTTCTAGTTTGTTGAGTGTTTTTATTGTGAAAGGGTGTTGAACTTTCTTAGATTTTTTTTCATCACTTGAAATGATTATGTGTGTTTTTCTGTCATTCTATAAATGTGTCCTTATGTTGAATGATTTTCATATATTGAACTATTCTTGTATTTCAGGAAGAAATCCCACTTGGTCATGGTGTATAATCCTTTTAATGTGCTGTTGAAATTGATTTACTAGCATTTTGTTGAGGATTTTGCATTGCTTTTTACTTGCTTTTAAGATTTGTCTTTGCCTTTTGATTATAATGTTTCTCAGTATGGGCCTCTAACTTGTTAATTGAGCCTCTCATATTTATATTTCCATTTCATTCCTCAAAGCTGGGACATTTACAGACATATTTTTCAAATAAGCTATTTTCTCCTTTCTTCTGTTTGAGACCCTCATAATGTATACATTGGTTGGCTTGATAGTGTCCCTTAAGTACCTTAGGAACTGTTCACTTTTCTTTATTCTGTTTGTTCCCGACTCAGTACTTTCAAATGTCCTGTCTTCAAGTTTGCTGATTCTCTTCTGCTTCATTGAGTTTGTGGTTGAATCCTTCTAGATAATTTTTCAATTCAACTATGACATTTTTCAGCTCTAAAATCTGGCTTTTAAAAAAATTTCCCAGTTGAGTGCAGTAGTTCACACCTGTAATCCCAGCACTTTGGGAGGTCGAGGTGGGCAGATCACGAGGTCAACAGATGGAGACCATCCTGGCCAACATGGTGAAACCCTGTCTCTACTAAAAATACAAAAAAAAAAATTAGCTGGGTGTGGTGGTGTGTGCCTGTAGTCCCAGCTACTTGGAAGGTTGAGGCAGGAGAATTGCTTGAACTTAGGAGGCGGAGGTTGTTGTGAGTCAAGATTGCACCACTGCACTCCAGCCTGGCAACAGAGCAAGACACTATCCCCGCCCAAAAAATTTCCCTGTTGATATTCTCATTTTGTTCATAAATTGTTTTCCTAATTTTATTTAGTTGTGTGTGTTCTATTTTAGCTTACTGAGCATATTTAAGACACTTGTGTTTTCATTTTGTTTTGAGACAAAGTCTTGTTCTGTCGCCCAGGCTGGAGTGAATTGGTGCAATCTTGGCTAACTGCAACCTCTGCCTCCCAGGTTCAAGCGATTCTCATGCCTCAGCCTCCAGAGTAGCTGGAACTACAGGCATGTGCTATTATGCCCAACTAATTTTTGTATTTTTAGTGGAGACAGGGTTTCACCATGTTGGCTAGGCTGGCCTCAACTCCTGGCCTCAAGGAATCCACCCACCTTGGCCTCCCAAAGTATTAAGATTACAGGCATGCACCACCACGCCCAGCCCGACAGTTACTTACCTTCTTTGTCAAGTAAGTCAGAGGTCTGTGTTCTTTAGGATTGATTTCTGGAGATTTATTTTGTGCCTTTGTGTATACCTTGTGATCTCTTTTTGAGGTGTGGTTATTTGAAGAAACACCCACCTCTTCCAGTCTTTACCAGATGGCTTTGTGCAGATGAATAGCTTCACTAATCAGCCCAGCTTAAAGGCTCAGGGGTTTCTTAAACCTTTTCTGGGGGCTGTGTCTTCCCTGGGACCATGTGTGTGTTTTATTTGTATTTACTTTTGTTTACTTGAATTGCACTTAGATGTCACTTGCATTCCTCTTCCTGTAATCTATTACCCCAAAGCATCCATGCATCTGGGAGCTGCCTGCTATTCTAGTGCACCAGAGCACTCCCCTTCTGCTTTGCAGCTTCTAGCCATGTGTCCAAAGTATGCCACTGTTCCTGTCAGTGCTGAGTCAGGAGAGACAGAAACTAGTCCCTTAAGCAGACTTCAGACAAGCCAGAAAGTTACAAGCTCCACCTTTTCCCTTTAGTCCCAAGGGAGAAACTGGGAATGAGGCAGTTTCCTTTGATAATGCCATGCTGCACCAGGGACGAGCAAGGGTAAGCAACATTCCATGAAATTTCCTACAACTTTGAGTGTGACTTGTTTAGAGTTTTTATAAGACATTTTGGTCTGAATATTGTTTATTCATTGTTTTCCTGGGAAAACAAGAGCCTGAAGCTTCGTAATCTGCCATCTTGCTGACATCACTCCTCTAATCTCTCTTACTTAAAACATAATGTTGTTTCATATTGCTGATTAAAATTAGTAGGATAAAGAGAAGGATATCCAAATAGCATAGTATGGCATGAAATTAAAAATAAAAGTCTCCTTATCCGCTTCCCAAACCCCATTCCCACTTCCTAAGGATAACTACTTGTAGCCATTTGTCTTTTGAAGTCTTCTGAAGGTTACTTCCTTTATTTTAAATAATGTAAGTATACACTTCATTTCTTGATTCACCAACTTTGAATTGTACAAATGATTTTATACACCAAAAGATGAGGCTTTTAGTAGACTTACTTATCCTCCTTCTTTCAGTTTTTGTTACATTTTGATATCTAAGTATCTCACCTGTTAGAACTTCAAATGATATTTTAAACATACATGCATTGAGAGAGTTCATGAGTTCTGAATATGTATATAAAGGAGATTGACACTCATATTTCCCTCCATTTCTTTAACCCGAAACCATCTTCTAAATTTTGTTTTCTAAAATTTACATTTTTTCTGACTATAGTATTTTATGCTTTCACTTAAAAAGGTAAATATATTTTTAATTCACTGTACAAACAAGATATGAGCTCTCAGTGAAATGCAATATTTGTCTCTAAAGCCATCCCTCTCAAATGACATTTCCTTTCTTAAATTTTACAGAACATATTTACTGAGTGCCTCCTGCATGGCCCATCCTGTTTTAGGTACTTGGAATATACTCATTAATTGCTCAAAATAATGTTACATCTTTGGACGTTTTTGGTTTAGACAAACATATCTAGAATTGTCTTCCCTTTTTGTTTGTTGATGGTAAAATGTGTGATACAGATATTTGTCCCCAACCACAACTCATGCTGAATTGTAATCCCCAGTGGTGAAGGTGGGGCTCCGTGGGAGGTGTTTGGGTCATGGGGTGGATCCCTCACGGCTTGGTGCTGTCATTGCAATAGTGAGTTCTTGTGAGATTTGGTCATTTAAAAGTGTGTGGCACCTGACCAGGTGTGGTGGCTCACGCCTGTAATCCCAGCACTTTGGGAGGCCCAGGCAGGTGGATCACCTGAGGTCAGGAGTTGGAGATTAGCCAGTCCAACATGGTAAAACCCTGTCTCTACTAAAAATACAAAAGTTAGCTGGGTGTGGTGGTGTGTGCCTGTAGTCCTAGCTACTTGGGAGGCTGAGGCAGGAGAATCCTTTGAACTCAGGAGGTGGAGGTTGCAGTGAGCCGAGGTGGTGCCACTGTACTGTCTCAAAAAAAAAAAAAAAAAAAAAAAAAAAAGTATGTGGCACCTCCCCCACTACTCTGTCTCTTGCTCATGCTCTAGCCATGTGATGCTCCAGAAGCCGAGCAGATGCTAGCACCATGCTTCCTATAAAGCCTGCAGAATTGTGAGGCAGTTAAACCTCTTTTCTTTATAAATTACCCAGCCTCGGGTATTTCTTTAGAGCAATGCAAAAAGGTCTAACACAATGTGTTAACTATATTTCTAACATCTCAGCTTCAGTGTCACTGTCTCAGCATGGTGATATTCTAAACTACAATTCCTCCCCTACAACACCAGTTGTTTATCCAGATCACTTACAATTTTCTAATCTGTTATATAATTCACTTATTTATTTGGCTTAATGTCTGTCTTTCTGCATCCCCATCACTAGACAAAAACTCCTGGAGGATTAAGAAATTTGTTCACTGCCATGTCCTCAGTGTCTAAACAGTACCTGGCCACATAAATCAATAAAAATGTTTTGAATGCATGTTATCTTCCTGCTATTGAATGGTATCCATTTAATAATGCTTCTTGTAAACAGTTCTAAAATCTCTCATTGTTTAATTTAGATAGAATGCCTTCTAGGTTGGCTTCAGACCTAGAAATCCTGAGATTTAATTTTATGATTAGATTTGTTCTCTATTCTTTCAGAGTGTTTTTGGGACGGGTGTGTGAAAAGCAAAGCCATTCATTGCTAGTGTAATCATTTGTTTTGCCATCTTACTTCATTGAGAATATGGCTGTAGACTGGATTCTATTTCAAAATAAGTCTTCTGCAGAGTCTGAGGGGAGTGCCCCATTATATTCCAGACCACAGTATTGCTGCTGAGAAATCTGGTAATCTTCAAAAGTTGAAAGAATAATCAGAAAAATAGTGTTTCCCAGAGCTGAATACACGGGTCTTCAGAACAAAATGTCCTTGACGGCTGTGAAGTGAGAAAGTATAAATGTAAAAACAACTTTTTTGAAATTTAAAACGCAAAAAAATGAATAGACCATTTTTTAAAAAATCTTTTTCCTTTGAAGTGCATTTTCCTTGATTTCTCTTTGTAAAACTCCCATTAGTCACAGATTGGACCACCTCACCCTCCACTTCCTTCACCTTCTTATCCCTTATCACTCACTGGAATGAGTATTTCCTACTTTTTTTTTTTTTTTAATGAACTCCATAGCTCGGATTTACAAAATAGAAAATTTAGGGGTTAGAATGAAGCACTGGCTTTTCTGCTAACATTATTTTCTAATGAGGTGAAAAGCAGCTTTCTTCAGTATCAAGATCACCACTCTTTGAGCACTTCCTTGTAAGGTCCCAGATCAAACACTTGATCTGATTCAGGGAGTAACTTTTTTCTTTAGTAAATAAAAAGATTTTTTTTCTTCATCTATGCATCAAAGACAAGTCAGATAACATTAAGATGACGGACATTAAAAGGATGAGGGCAGGGGTCAAAATGAGCCTTGAAGTTGCAGGTATCTACAAGAAAGTTTTGTTGTTCTTCCTGCATTTTTTTTTTATAAAGCAAACAATACTCTATTTACTTTTTAAATTGCATTTTAGGTTTTGGGGTACATGTGAAGAACATGCAAGATTGTTGCACAGGTACGCACATGGCAGTGTGATTTGCTGCCTTCCTCCCCTTCACCTATATCTGGCATTTCTCCCCATGCTATCTCTCCCCACCTCCCCACTCTCCGTCCCTCCCCCATTTCCCCCCAACAGACCCGTGTGTAGTGCTCCCCTCCCTGTGTCCATGTGTTCTCATTGTTCAACACCCGCCTATGAGTGAGAACATGCAGTGTTTGATTTTCTATTCTTGTGTCAGTTTGCTGAGAATGATGGTTTCCAGGTTCATCCATGTCCCTACAAAGGACACAAACTCATCATTTTTGATGGCTGCATAATAGTCCATGGTATATATGTACCACATTTTCCCTGTCCAGTCTATCTGAATGTGACAAAGAGAATGAATCCAAGCTGGAAAATACTCTTCAGGATATTATCCAGGAAACTTTCCTGCATTGTTTTCAAAGATTCAGGCTCTTACTCTGTTACCCAGGCTCAAGTGCAGAGGCAACATCATAGCTCAAGCTCACTGTAACCTTGAACTCGTGGGCTCAAGGAACACTAGGAGAAAGTATTATTAAAGGCAAACCCTCACAGTCTGAGAAACATTATAAAAACCAAGAGGAGTTAAGGTGCCAAAACATAAAAAGTCAGATGAAGATGAGTCATTCAATGGTTTCAATTCTTACTGGACAATTCTGGACAGAGACAATAAATACAAGGTAAAATTTCAATTACGTCTTTTGTGAATAGTGTACTTTAAGCAGAGGGCACAGAATTTCCTTATCAATTTTGTAGATGTTTACATCTTCATAAATACCAGCAATTCCCAGACTATATCTGACATTTTATAGATTTGTCTTTTTTTGTGGTTATATGCCCTTCCTTCATTGTTTTATGCATATCCTTTAATAACATGAGCTCACAGTATAATTGCTCTTGGTCTACTTTTTTATAGTTGGAATGTCATTGGATTGTCAGAATTTTATTTTGCAAAGAACTTCATTTTAAGCCAATTTCCTTTTAGAGTCTTTGGACATGGGATAAGGACAAACGTTACCAGAACTTTTGAAATACTCTTTCCTAATATTTATCTTGTTTTTCTATTTTTAGAATTTGTGGCAATTCTCATAAAATGAAACCTAACTCACCTATTCTCAGTATTCGACCAGCAAAACACCTCAGTTACCTGCGCACATGATCTAATGCAATGAAGCATCTCCAATGGGTTTTATCTGGTGAGTACGCAGAGATACAGATCTTGTCTTAAAACCGGGTTTAGCTGTGGAACTATTACATTTTGGACCAAATCAATCTTTGCTGTGGGAGCTGTCCTGAACACTACAGGATGTTTAGCAGCATCCCTAGTTTCCACTTCCCAGATCCTGTACCACTTCTTCCTCAAGCTGTGATAACCAAAACTGTCTCCTGACATTGCTCCACTGTCTCCATGAGGAGCAAAATCACTCCCTATGGGAACCAGTGTCAAAAACCATTTTAGAGGCAAACTATAAACTAACTCCCCAAACTGTGATGGTGGAAACAATCTGTAACTTCCTAATAATACAGTAGCTGATCACTACATGATGCTACTAAGTACTTGAAAGGTGGCTAAGTATGAGGAGAATTCTTAATTTTATTTCATTTTAATTTACTTAAGTCCTACATATACTATAAGGACAAGACGCTTCATCATGGAAAACTGTGTAGGTATCTGATACTTTTGTTAAAAAAATCATATGTGGTTGATAGGCAATAAAAACAGAGAAATAGAACATTAATATATACATTTTTAAAATTTTGCCCACCTCATTTCTACTCATACCCCTGCTGAATGACATATAAACTTCATCCTATGTTATATTTAAAAACTTGGTTTTTTTTGAGACACCAGAGTCCAGTTCTGTTGCCCGGGCTGGAGTGCAGTGGCACCATCATGGCTCACTGCAGACTGGATCTCCTGGGCGCGCTCTATCCTCCCACCTGAGCCTCCCGGGTAGCTGGGACTACAGGCACATGCCACCACACCTGGCATAAATGTTTGTATATTTTTTGTAGAGAAAGTGTTTCACCATGTTGTCCAGGCTGGTCTCAAACTATCCACCCACCTCCACCTCCAAAAGGGCTGGGATTAGAGATGTGAGCCACTGCACCTGGCATGTTTTATTAGCCCTACTTCTATCCATTTAAGTTTCATTCTGACTAGGCATTTGTTAAATTAAAAGGTGAATTGTGAAGTTAAAGATTACAATGATAGAAATTTAAAAAGGTTTTAGTTTTCTGTATGATAGAAGTCATAACTGAAAATATAAGAATGCAAAAAAGGTGCTCTAACTGAATTCTGGTAAATAATTCCTTGAAAGAAAAGAAAAACTAAACAAATTTAAAGGAAAGGCCAACCAGGATTGAAAGAAAACATTTATTCAATCAAAATCAATACTTTCTTTTTAATATCTACAAGCCAACACGGAACTCATTTTATTCAAGAATGAACACAATGTACAAAAAACGTATGCTTATATTATAAAAATATGTCAATTTTATCTTCTGGGTGCTCAGCAGAAGTCATTTTAAACAAAATCAAGGCAAACTTGTTCTCTATAATGAGTCTGCTATAATTTAACAATGAAGTGAAAGCTAATGTACTCAAAGTATTTTTAAAGGCCCACTGATGATAATGCTGCACTGGAAATGCTTAACTCAACATTCCCACTCTATGCTTACTGGCACCACTTCATGCCTACATTATGGGAAGTACCTCTTTTATAGAATGCAGATCACTGCTAACAGAATCCATGTGATTAAATCTTCGGTTTCCTTTAACAGTTGTTAGCATATATTTCAGCAAAGATTAACAGTATAATGAATTTTGAGTAGTAAAATCCTATTTAATTAGCTTCAATTTAAAAATGAGATATGCTGCTATGGGGAACAGATGACTTTTCGAGGTTTACAACCCCATTTATGAACATGGGAAAGCTGCCTTCCTAAAAAAAGATTTATGTCCAAGGTTAATACCGTATCTTTTTTGGTAATTTTTCTTATTTCTTGATTTTATTGGCACCTCCCAGGCACTTTGGCATGTGCTCCTGTATGAAGTGTAGTTACTGTGCCTGCAGAGTTAGTGGCAGCTACAGAGTAGTTACAGGCTGACGAGTCCGCTTTTGGCTTACCACGGAGATCCGTTCCAACACACGCTGGTCGTTGGAGCAACAGGAAAAATGATGACTTGGAAAAAGAATAAAATCATGAATCGGGGAAAAGGATCATGACTTCCAGTACTGTTGTTCCAGCAGTTACATGACAAGTAGAAAAACTGTACTAATTTAAAGAGTCAAAACAGAAGTAGACTAAATAGCATCAGTGCTAATAATGCCAAGAAAATCTAATCTCTTTTTTAAAGAGCTTTCACACAACAATGTCCCTGGCCAAGAAACTGACCCTGTCTGGCTAAGCAGAATGACAGTGGTACTCAGGCAAATTCCACAATGTGACATCCACACAGTGAATCAGTGACAATAAATGAATTCAACTTTAGAAGATGATAGTTATTAAATAAACTGCAAAATGTCTACTTTGAAGATGCAAATGTTTTTCCTTGGCAGATTCTGTGCTTGGGATTGACACAAAGGCTCAAAATTGCAAAATATAAAGATCAAGTAATCTGGTGCCCCGCTGTACTGGGTAAATGTACTGGCTGAAATTAAATTTAAAAAACTGGGGGAGTAATGCTCTCATGTTTTACCTACATAAACCTAATGTTTATTCAGTTTCCTGTTCTGCGAGAATCTGGGACTAAGAGGAGTGAAGGCAGAAGATAAAGTGATCCCTGTTTCTTTATTCAAAGTTACCTAAACTAAGTTTTTAATTACGCCTCATTTGTTACATGTAATGTTAATCCTACCAAATGTAGTTAGATAGGCTTGAATTAGAAATAGGATTTAAACATTTCAATGAGAACACAAACCACTGACTCTGGCTTAACACCACATTCTAGAAAAGAAGAAACCTTTACAGAAGTATTTGAAATATACAAAATTTGTGCAAGGACAAAACATTTTAGGACCTGAGCAAAGGCTTCATACAGGTTGTTTTCACTGGCAATAATTCAGCCAGGTCAGTATGTTGCTCTTGGCAACTGATGTGGCCCCTAAAATATGTAGAACACAGGCCAGTGACTCTGGAGGTCTGCAGTTAGTTAGTTAGTTAGTAGTACAGGCCAGAAGTTCAACAAACTGCTACTGGAAACCATAATGTTAAAAACAAGTAAAAATTATTAAAGAATGAGTGCACAAAGAAACAAACAGCTAGTAAGATGAAGCTGCTCAGGATCAGCCTGGATGAGAGTATGACCACAACACTCAGATGTACCACACCTCCTCGCTCTCAAAATAAATACATTGAACATTTACAACAGAATGAATGCCTTATGAATGCAAGCTTTTATTGCAATTCTAATCAAAAAGACCAAAGGTCATACTTCTAAATAAGCTACAAGTAATCTTTTCCATGAAAATGATGTGACTTGGTGCCACAGCTAACTTTCTCTAATAGCAGCATCATCAGCCCATGGCAGCAAAGAAATGTTAATTTCTGGCATCCCATGGGCTCTTATCGAAGCAACTTCATAAAGCATGCGGATATCTATTCTGCTAAAGTTTCAAACAAATAAAAATGATCATTGTGCTTGTGGTTCTCATACCTTTCAAAATATACATAAATGATGGCAAATTAACAAATAATAGCAGGTTCTTGCTTTCCGATAAAATCATAAGGCAGAGGGTTGACAGTGAAAAGAAAAATGTTTAAAATGAAAAAAAACTGCAAAATGGTGTTAGCATTCACAAAAAAGATCATGCGAAGATCAGATCCATACTGATTAAACATTGAAAATTCAGCGACAATCCAAAGAACTCTGTCCATGAGTCCAAAGGCATGCATGCCAGCTGAAGGAAATGCAGGATTCATCTGACAGTATCTTCTTCAGAGCAGAACAGTAACACCTCACTGGAATAATCACGACAGGGTGAACAAGGTGCCATCACACTTCTTTTTTGTAATTCAAAATAAAAGAAACGCAATCACAGGACAAAAAAAATTACAGAATATTGGACAGAGAAAATACAGAAATTCACAATGACCCTATAAAGCAAAAAAAAAAAACTTCAAATTATTTCTACACTTTCAGGGTTTATCCTTTTTCAAAGTAATCTTTTTAATTTTAAAAGTTTATAATGAAATATTTAAAAACGAAGTGTTAACTATAAAATTACTCCTCATGAGATTACCTATAGTATCAATACTTTTTTGAGACAGGGTCTTGCTCTGTCACCCAGACTGGAGTCCAGTGGCGCAATCTCAGCTAACTGCAACCTCTGCCTCCTGGGTTCAAGCAATTCTCATGCCTCAGCCTCTTGAGTAGCTGGGATTACAGGCATGTGCCACCACACCCAGCTAATTTTTCTATTTTTAGTGGAGATGTTGGCCAGGCTGGTCTCAAATCCCTGGCCTCAGGTGGTCTACCCACCTTGGCCTCCCAAAGTGCTGGAATTATAGGTGTGAGCCACCACGCCGAGCCTCAATATTCAAAATAATAATTTCACTCTTGTTTCAAGGACACATAAGAAGCATCTTGTCATCAGAATCTTCCCAACCAGACGTTTTAAAGTATTTAAAGTTATTAATAAGGAAAAGAGCCTAAAACTTACATTCAAAGTGCAGGACCTAGACTTAGCTGAGTAATTTTGCCTTTCCCAGTAAGTTCACAAAAAATAAATATAATACGGGATAATATATATATATATATATATATAAAAATTTTTTAAAACTCCAAGACCTAACTAAGGCTGCCTGTGATGTCAGCTATTATTGGCCATGTCTGGCCTACAGGTCCAGACCCCAGCTCCAAGTACTCACTGGAGAAAGGACCAGGGCTATCCCGCCTTCGTATCCACGAGCTGCATCTGCATCTGCACATTGGCAGGCATTCCACCTCCATAGCCTCCCTTGGACTGCATTTGGTTCTGAATGGAGCTAACCTAAAACAAGACAAAAACACAACAAAATAAAATGGAAGTCAGGAACTAGGTCCAGTGCAACTAAGTAATTCTTTTCCCAGAATTTTATCTGGGCTGCTTTTTTCAGAAGGATACTTTTATAGACTTAAACATTTTCTGGTTATAAGGACAAACAGGGAGACTAGCAATTGAAACAATTTTTGCAAAAATCCCTATTTTATCTGTTTACAAATTACTAAAAGTGAGTTTTGTAATTTACAAGGTATTTGGTAACATTTGAAAAACAGTCAAAAATATATAGATCAACTCTACTTTTTTTTTTTGTTTTGAGATAGAGTCTTGCTCTGTTGCCCAGGCTGGAGTGCAGTGGCACAATCTCAGCTCACTGCAACCTCTGCCTCTCAGCAATTCTCCTGCCTCAGCCTCCCTAGTAGCTGGGATTACAGGCGCATGCCAACACACCCGGCTAATTTTTGTATTTTTAGGTTTCACCATGTTGGCCAGGCTGGTCTCAAACTCCTGATCTCAAGTGATCCAACTGCCTCAGTCTCCCAAAGTATTGGGATTACAAGCATCGGCCACCACACCTGGCCGATCAATTCCACTTTGTTTCACAACCTCAAGTATCTTAATTTACAGATACCTCACATAGATAAATCACCTCAATTACTTAGTAAAGAATCAAAACCAAGAAAATAAGCATGAATAATATTGGTCCAACCACAGATAAATCTTAAAAGTCTGTGTCATAAAATGTGCCATCTTAATATAGTCTGATAAAGTAAAAAAGAATCAAAGAATCCAAAGAGGAAAGTAGTCCCAGTTTATTTATTAATATCGTAACTGGGTAAACTATCCTCTCTGAATATCAGCCTTCTTATTTGTAAAAGGGTTAAGATGGTAATCTTTCCTGTCCACATTAAATAGCTGTTTCCTGAGAGATTGCAAGATATA